TTCGGCACAGCTGGTAGCCAGAACATGCTGATAATGGACCCCAGTTCTACAGGAACCATGCAGCGGATGCAGAGTGAGAAGAGCATCCTGGATGAACCAGACTCTCCTCTAGAGGTTAGACATATTTTAATCTAATTTTTTGTTGCTGTATTTCTTTTAATGAGAAATCACCATACGCAAGCCAGTTGTTTGCACAGGAACCCTCAGTTCATTAAAAATGAAAAGTATTAATAGGTATGTCTGTCTGTTAAATACACTATAGTTAAGATCATCATTTCAACATTCAACCTTAGGTTTACGTTTAACTCACCCACAAAACTCCAGACCTACAGCTGTTCTGCTATCAGCAATGATCAGAACCATTCATTTTCCAAAAGTAGTTTTTTAAAGTAATTGAAAACACACCATTAAACTGAACAGTGGCATAATAAATCGATGTATATCTTTACTAGAACGTTTTTTTATTATTATTTTCAGAATATATTCGTTACTGTTATGCCTTTCGTTGAATTATTTTATTCTTCACCACTTCAGTACCACGGATAGCGACACATTGAGTTTTTTTTCAACGTTATGTTTGAGTCATCTTCTAAGTGCTCTTAACACATTCTTATGTCGACAAATTTTTTTTGTTTAGTTGTTATTTATCCAAGGTCTTCTTAACTGATAATTTTTCTTTCTTATAAAGGCCTATTCTCATGCCACTTCTTTCAAAACAGACCTTTATTTGATATTTCATGTTTAAACAGAGCCTTTGTGCAACTGTTAAAAAGAATATCTCTTTAGTCCTGTGTTATCTCCTTTCCTTCTTACCGTTTTTTTCAAAGATGCTTTGTGAGTTGTTTGTTTTTACATTTCCAAGATATATTATTATAACATATTTCCCGAAAGTTGAGTTTGAGACGCTGCACTGCAGTTTTCTGTTCTGGACTCTTAGGGCCGCTGTTGACCAAAGTGTTGATGACTGAGTGCATGTCACAAGCAGTGCCTCCTTTGTATTGTCGGCATAATTCTGATGAAATTCGATCGAAAACGATCTGCGAGGACTATCTTTTCGAAGGAAAACGGATTCAATTCTGCATCTGACAGAGGTGTTTCGAGGGAGACGTTTGTGATTACTATTTTCATTTTTGATACTGGAATATAACCCGAGTTTGTTTTGTGATATACCAACAAGCCGTGAATTTTCATCGTGGAAATAAATATCCAACGGAACAATGAGTCGGCAAGCGCAGTTCGCCATCCTTCTCTTCTCGCTCCATACAGTCCTTTCTCAGGTCAGCTACTCCATTCCAGAGGAAATGCCAAAAGGATCATTAGTTGGAAATATAGTTCAGGATTTAGGTTTGGAAACTAAACGCTTGGTTTCAGGGAAAGGTAGGATCTATGCCAGGAATAGCGAAGACTACATCGAGCTGAGCAGAGAAAAGGGAGTCCTCCTCGTCAAGCAAAGAATAGACAGAGAGGCTCTGTGTACGGATAGTGTGCTTTGTGCTTTGAATATCCAGATTATTTTAGAGAGTCCGATGGAATTTTATGGTGTTACAGTTCAAATAACTGATATTAATGATAATGCACCTACCTTTGTAAAAAACGCGATGACATTCAAAATAAGTGAATCTGCTGTGACCGGGTTGAAATTTGTATTAGACAGAGCAGAAGATTTTGATGTTGGAATTAACGGGGTGCAGAAGTATGAGCTAAGACCAACGAATAACTTTGCTCTTAAAATGCACAATAACGCAGATGGCAATAAAAACGTTGAGATGGTTTTACAGAAGCCTTTAGACAGAGAGAAAGAAGAGCAGATATCTCTCGTGCTAACGGCTGTAGATGGAGGAGAGCCGCAGTTATCAGGAACAATGCTGATATTCGTCACGGTTTTAGACGTTAATGATAATGCTCCCGTTTTTACACAGAAAACATACACAGCTACAGTTACAGAAAATTCTCCTACGGGCACCGTCGTTGCTACTGTTACTGCATCAGATGCAGATCAAGGAGCGAACAGTAAAATAACCTACTCGATTGCAAATACGATAGGAAACGTTAGACACATGTTTGAAATAAATCAGGAAAATGGCGATGTTACTTTGATCGGAAATATTGATTATGAAAAGGCAAAACAATATCAAATTAATGTTGGTGCAAGTGACGACGGTGGTCTCACGGACTCCTGTAAATTAATCATTGATGTGCAAGATGAAAATGATAACAACCCTGAAATTAATATAATGTCGAAGTCAAATGTCATATCAGAAAATGCTAAACTGAACACAGTTGTTACAATGATAAACATCGAAGACTTGGACTCAGGAGAAAATGGAAAAGTCAATTGTTTCGTGAATGAAAATATACCTTTCATTCTCAAATCATCAACAAATAATTTCTATAGCCTTTTGACAGACAGTGAATTAGACAGAGAGAGAGCCTCTGAGTATAACATC